CCTGGGGATCATGTGTACTGGCTGTGGCTACACAGTTGACAATATCCCCTGGAAAAAAGTGTGCTTTGATTTGTTTTGCCAACAGAGATGCATGGAATCCTCCACTATCATCCTCTTCCAGGTGCAGGATTTCTTTGTGTTGTGTCAAGTGCAGTCAAATTGTTTGTCTCTGCCTTGTGCAGGAACAATTTTTGCACCCGGATGGTACCCAAGCGAATGCAGATCACCCTGGTGCTTGCAGTGCAAAAGAGCACCCTGTACATCTGGGGACTGGTGACGATGCTGCCAGTGGGTCAAGCTCAGTGGGTTGGAGCTCTGATGACGATGTGCTTGAACATCCTCTCGATCTGGTGGCAAGTGACAGTGTGGCCAGTAGGGCAGACTCACCTGGTTGGAGCTTTGACAACAGTGTGCATGAGCATCCTGTACATATCAGTTCCAGTGAGGATGCATCCAGCAGGACGGACTCAACAGGTTGGAGCTCCGATGATGAGGCTTTCCTCCATTTTCCACCACTGCGATTGGTGGACCTGCCGTACTTTGATGCAGAGATCCCACAGGCATGTGTGATGTTTTTTCCATTGTAGAACTGTTCATCATGTTTGCGAGGCTGTCCCTGTCCTGAAAGAAGAGATGTGGGCATTGTGCCACATGGCAGGAGTGTCTGAGGCGATGCAAAGCCTGAAGATTAATTTTATCTTCTGTGCTTTGCATATCCTTTTGTTGTTCACTGTATGGATTTGACCCATGCAAATGCATCGAGTTGCTCATGTCTTAGTATGGCTGTAGGGCTGCGAGGTCAACAGTGTCCAGCAAGAACATTATGTTTGTTGTTTGCTAACCAGCCAGCAGGATGTTCAGTTGCATCAGTTTAAGGTCACCGTCTTGTTGACATCCATGAAGATACACAACTTGTTGTTATGAATGATTTCTAACTGCTGTTCCGAATGAGGAAGGATAAGTTTATCTGCCATGATGCTGTGTGTGTTGATGTCATGGTGGTAACTATGTGACACACTTTTGGTGCATTTTAGCAGATGCATAGCAGAGTCTTTGCACAAATATCTGAGAGAACAGGTTTTAGCTATGGTTTGACCTGAAGACCAGTGTCAGTTGAGAATGTATTATGCTGAATTTCATGCTGAAGCCAAAAGCGCCTGTCTCTTAAACATTCAGTTGCCCAAGACTATTTGGCGACTGTGTACACTGTACCGGCCTTTATGGCAACATGACGTACATGAGGCACAGTATCAGGCCTAGTAATGTTTGAATAAGTTCTGGGCTTTTGTGCGTCCACCCCAATATTTGGAAGTCGTAAATGCAGTGGCCATTGGCGAAAGTGGTACAAGTGAGCTCTGGGGCCCAACAACAGGTACCAATCTGTTTTCTCGTCCCACTTGCCAAAATATTTTGGCAGGGCGAAGTTGCAGTTTGCCAGGCAATGGATCCGCCCCAGAGGCAGCCAGGAACCCACATATTGTCCTGTCGCCAACTATTCAGGCCGCGTACTGTGTTGTGCAAGCTCAGAAAGGTCAGTTTCGACCACTGCCCACCCAGTGTAGGCCATCACATAAGAGGCCTTTTAGAGCTTGGACCAGCACAACGAGTGTCATTGGTTGCAATGTGCCTGCCAGTTGAGATTTCTGTGCTGTCTGGGGCGCTGTGACAAGTTGCAATGCAGTGACATTCCGCCCCAGTGCTGTTGTGGTTGAGAGGGCGTTGCACTGTCGGCTGTCAGATGTGACCTTCAAAGCAATCCATGTGCTGAAACACGCCAGAGAACTGACCTGGCACCTGCCATGCATGAATCCACATATTTTGTCAGAGATTGCTGGCCTGTTTTACCTTAGCAAAAGGTGGCGAAGCCTGAAGAATAGTTCTGAAGCAAGAGGTTGTTTGCTTGCACAGGCAAACCCTTTTCTCTCCGTTGGATGCAGCCATTCTTTGTCTCTCCGGGAAGGTAGTGGGTCTGAAGGTAACAGCACAAATCCAAACGTAAATGATAGGTACAGTAATACATAACAAATAAAGAGAAGTTGTATGCATATGCATAGCAGATCATACTTATAGTATGACATGGTCTATTGCCTTTGTAGCGGATGAGCAGCAAAGATGGGATAAAATCCCTGTGGGCAACATGTCCGCTTTACCTGTGTAGCTGATGGCAATCCTTGCATTCTGGACTTTCTTGTGTTTCTGTCAAAACCTTCCTGAGCCGTTATTGTGTCAGGGCTAATTGCACGTGTGATTCTCATTGTGATCAGATATAGTGTCAGATATAGTGACAGTTGTGCACGCAATAACGAATACCAAAGTACAGCTTCATGGTGCAGGGGCAGTGATCTGTGGATTGCCAGCAGAGAGAATGCAGGGATGTACACATGTTCTGAAAGAAAATACCAAGACTATGGAAAAGTTGAACTAAGCTGGATGGTGTTGACAGAAGAATTGGTAGCCATTGCTCAGAATGCTCAGAGTGCTTTCAGTTCCCAGTGACAGGGCAATGCACTTTGGTGTGTGAAAGCATTTGGCACCAGATGGCACCGACATTGCAAGAAGAATACATACAAATAGGCAAAGTTGTTGGTGCTTATATTCATATGTTGCTGTCTCATCTGCTTGCATGGATTGCTAGTACCAGTTGATGTGTTGCCTCTTGTCCTGCATTGGTAAATCTTCAAACAGTTCCATGCTCTCAAGCCTCATCATGAACAGATAATTGTTCCCACATTGAGCCTGTGAGTTGGTGTTGTTAATCAGTGTGCAGGGAGCTTTAACTTTGAGAAGTGGTCAAGTCTCAGTCTGTGCACATACTCCAGCGGCAAGTATGTCCAGTGTTCATGCCCACTTTGGGGCTGCACGCAAGCATCAGCAAAAGCCAGCCTATTTGCGGTGAATGAACAATGCTAGCTTCGCATCTGCAATATGATGATGGGCGCAAATCTGTGCAGTCAACGCCGCATTTGCCATCTCCATAAATGCCAGCTCAAAATGCAACATCTGCAACTGACATGGAAGAGCGTTCTAAACCGCTGACCTCGTTGTGTATTCTTTTGCTGCAGCTGCAGCTGCTGATGGCATTGACAGCACCACTCCCAAAGTCACGCGCCCGGTGTTTGCCAAGTTAGGCTGGTCAGCCACCTTCGATGGGTCGTCTAGCAATAGCGATGCACCCATGCGAAGGGGCATCCAAGCTACTTCCTCCAAAACCAATGACAGAAATGGCTTTCGGGGAAGTGGTCAAGGTGGAGGGCACCGAGGCCAAGAAGAGGGGTGGAATGCACTTGAGTTTCTACAATTTGGTGGTGATGGGAAAACATGGCTCCTGTGCTCTGCTGCAGTGCTTCTGGGGACTGCAGCGGCTGGGTTGATGATGAAGAAGCAGAATGCCAGGGATGGCATCATGAAGCCTGACCATTGTGAGATCGAAGGTGTGGCATTCAAAGCCAATTTTGTGCAATGCGATTTTCCTGATGCAGCTGTGAGTTGTTTTGTTGGGAGCCCCAGCAGCACTTGTTTGTGTTTTAGTATTGTGAGATGTGGGATTGTTGTTGTGCTGTAATTGTGTCTACTCTTGTGAGGCTGGAAGTAATTCCAGTGCACAACTTTACAGAGCCAATGTCTGGAGATAGTGTGTTCCAATGGCCACAAGCGTACATGCATGGAACCCTAACGTATGCAATATGTTGTGGACTCCCACAGTTTATTGTCCTGGCATTCTTCTGTCCTCTTGCACCTGCATTCATGCACTGTCTTGTGTGGATCCATGTGGTTGCCAATCATGTGGGAGGCAGTGGATTGAGCAGATGCTCCAGATAGCAGACATAAGAGGTTCATGCAATGCACCTCCACTCATGCTTTGAATGGTGCGCCTTCTGCAGTGAGTTTTGAGATTTCGTTGTCACTGGTGTTGGCAGGCCTTGATGAAGCCATCGCCACTGCAAAGCACTCTGAAAACCAGACAGATGCCCAAGCAACTGCTGGTTCTTCTTCTGCAGGAGACGCTGGCTCCCAATCAACCGAGACAGGTGACCACGGTTCAGCTGCCTGCAGCTCAGCTTCCAATGCGAGATCCCTACCAGATTGCGAAAATGCAGCAGATGTGCATTTAACCAGAGCACCACCCGATGGGCTTGAGTGGTCTGATCAGCTGAGCTCATTGGCAGAAGGGAGCACAAGGAAGAGAGATTTGTCGTTGGTTTCAGATGCGATGGCAAGACAACATAGCTCATCGATTGCAGTGGGGGACAGGCAGCGGGACCACCTTTCGAGTGGTGGTCCTCCGGTTGATCGTGGCTGTGAGATGGACACACATTCATCCGATTTTGTTCGTGAACCTGAGTGGACCACATCACACACACAGTCAGTTGCATCCATCACTTCCACACCTTCCACTGATGCTGGCTTGGCAAGGGTGAGCACAAGGATGAAGCCCATCATTGGCAAGCATCTCTGCTGACCATTTGCATGCTTTCTTCTCAGCCGATCGTTATCATGCATTGAATGATCTGTCTCAATGTGGCATTCCATAACATGCCAAAGTGAATGACCAGCAAGTGGTACTCTGCTACCTGTTGTTGTACAACGCATGCAGAGATTGAAGTAGCACAGCCCGCTGGGTTAAAAGAAACATGGGTGGCACTGTTCATGGTATGTGAAAAGGGTTATTGTAGGCTGTTTGGGATAATGAGTGATGACATACACGATTCAGAGTTGCAAGTTGTAAGGTTGACTATGTTTTGCACTACTCAAGACACAATGGCCTTTGTTTTTCAAGCTTCATGGTATTGAAACTTGATTGCTTGCATGTCCAGGATGAATGGTTGACATCTGTGCTTTCAGTGTAGCCAGCTTTCAGGATTGGATCAGCTTTGCATGGTGCACAGTCACACAGTTGATATTCTGTCAGTACCAGTGTCAGCATTGGGAAGCGGTGTGATTAGGGCATGGCAGTATTATTTGTAACTGCTCGGAGTGCATTGCCTTAGGTGCCATCCCGAATGGAGATGGCTTTGCAGGAGCGCCTCATGGCTTTGCGTGAGGAACTGGAGCAGAGTGAACAGCGCCGCCACAAGGCGCTATCCGATTTGGCCAAACTGTCCACTTTCTGTGGGGGAGATGCTGGCGAACTCAAGGAAAGGCTGAAGGACGAGCAACAGCAAAATGCAGAGGTGCTGACACTGGCTGTGCTGTCCATTTGTTGCTTTGTGATGTGCAGTTTGTGCCTGCACAAATTGCACTGGGGAGTACAGTGCAGGAGAGCTTGGTTATGTGCAAAGGGAATGTCGCACAGCAGAGTATGCTGCAAAGTGGATTTTTTGAGCAGTGTGGCCATACAGTATTGTGGCATTTTTCAAGCTGAAGTTGTGTTATCTACTATTGTGTGAAGCTTGTGAAATGTGCAAAAGACAACACCTAGTCTACCCAAGGTCTCAGATCGGGGCAAGCTGGTAGTGAGATGGATGCAAACATCATCCAAGGTACCAGGGAGAATTGTGTCTGCTCAAGACCTCCTGTTGTTATCAATATTGTTGACATGGGGCACTTCACAGTCTCACTGACTGACAGTCCCTTTGTATGCAGATGAGCAACGTTCTGAAGCGCGCAAGCGATCAACGCGATGGGCTTGTGTTGTTCCTGGAAGACTCAAGGAAGACTCTGGCAGCCCTTGAGCCAGGTCTGGTGCAGGCATCCAGCAATATGGATTCCCTCACTGATACCCTTGCCTTGCAGCACCAACAGCTGCAGGTGGCACAGAAGGAGCTGCAGGAAGTAAGCAATGACAGGGACGCCATGGCTGTGCGTGTGCAGGAGTTGCAGCATGACACAGGCTGTGCCGAGCGTCTGTTGGAGGCTTTGGACCCTCTGCAGTTGGCAAATGGCAGGGATGGGGCATTGTCCCTGGATGATGTAGCTGTGAGGCTTGAGCTGTGTGCCCAGGTGAGGGCACTTTGGCTAGCAAGACCATAACGAGTTGCTGTCCACTACAAGTTATCAACAGTGATTGTTATGCCACTGAGCACCATTGCTGGATTTCTCTGGTGTTGAGGGCATTGTGATTCTGAAACGGACCCACAACTATTCTGCCTTAAAATTTGTCTATTCCTTTATTCCTTCATTCATTCCTGGACATATCACTTGCAGTAGAACAGCAGCCCTCTGCCGCATCTTGCCAAGTTTACACAGCACAGATTCACCCCATGGGTAGGTGTGGACGTCATGTTCTAATGCCATCTCGGTTGCACCCCAGGGCTTGCGACAGGACCAGCTGGGTGGGACGAATGGTCGTTGCCCCATGGGATCCCTGCTTCCAAGGATGCAGGCAGCACTGGAAGCTCTCATTTGCTGCATAAAGCAGGCACTGGAAAGCTCGAACCCAGAAGACTGCAGTTCCACTGGACTGGTGGAGAAACTGAGGACGGTTGCCAAGGAGAAGAGGCAGCTTGAATCAGAACTTGCTTCTACAAGGGGTGACCTTGGCCACATGCTGCAAGAACGAAGTGAGCTTGAGCGCACTGCAACAGAGCTGGAGACTGCCGTTCATCGTGAGATGGCAAAGTTGACAGCCAGCCAAGACCACCAGTACAGATTGAAGAAGGCGTTGGATGAGGTGAGCACGCGTTTGGCTGTATTGCTATTGTTGCAACTTGGTGAGGCATTGCCCATGCATCTTCCGGGTGGTGATGGGCGTAATTCGTGTCCATTGGTGTGTTCTCTTGGAGCACTCTTCTTTCCTCTCTCAGCAGGCCAGCACACGGCACCAACAGCTGTCCACCAAAGAAAATAGGAAAGAATACAGAATTTTGAATCTTGAATTTTAAATGTTAGGAAAGTTATGTATGTCTTGTGCCTGTGTGGCAGTGGATACTGTGTTGGCACTGCAAGCTCTCTGCTGATATTGTAGCCTGCTTTCAGTACTTTAGTTTGCGTTTGGGGTGCGCCAAAGATCAGAGCTTGCAACTCACAGTGACCACAATTTCAGCGATTGTCTCCAGCAAATGCATGGCAAGGCGATGACAGGTTGGGTGTAATAACAGGTCATCGTTGTTGCCATTCAAGCACACTAGAAAGCACCAATGTGTCACAACTGTCCGTCAGCGAATTCTGTGCTTGCTCTCTTTGTCCTTAAGTGTTATGAAGATTGTGCTTGCTTCTGGAATTCTTTTCTACAGTGTGGAAAATGGTATTTCGGCTTCTAGTCTTGCCCCCATGATTTCCTCTACTGCAACAGGCACATCGACAGCGTGGTGAAGTGCAGCAGCTGCTGGAGGCGCGCGAGCACGAGTTGG